GGACCCTCTCCTCTCCTCTTCCCACTTGCCCCAGAGACAGGAAGAAAAAAAGCAGAGGCTGTTGTCTCATCCACTCCCTTCCATCACTCATCCCTCCTTACCCCAATCTATGGTCCACATGGGCATGCATCTGTCTCAATGATGTAAACATCATCAAAACCAAAATGAATTATTTTTTTTAAAGAACAAATGTAAAATATCACATGACTGCAAAATGTAAAAGGAGTATAATAAGTTATCTTCTTCCTTTTCCATTAATTGCTATTATTAGTCTGGGAACAACAGGAGCTTTACTGTAAACCACTAACTTCCATAATCTGCCGTTATCCAAAGGCTGAAAAACAAGTACACAAATGCTGCCATCTTGTGGATTGATGCTATATGGTCCTAACTCCAAATAAGCATAAGAGGAAAAGTTCTTAAAAAAAAAAATTTAAGCTTCTGCTATGTTATATGGTCTCAAGAAAAGAAGCAGTAAATGGACAGGCAGACAAGAGGGAAATGCTGAAGAAGTCTCCAACCCGCAGATCCTGAGCCATCTTCCACATTCAGCAGATTGATGCTTTCCTGAACTCCTTTCTGCTTTTTCCTAGTCACGTCACTTCTGACACTATCTCCCTGTACTCAGTTCCAGTTCCCATCAGACCCATGTAGGGTACTTTGCACACAGAGATCACAAATATAACTCATGTATGGCCAGGACAAGTAATTTTTACTCATATTTGCTTTTGAGCAGAAATATAAGAGACTATGATTGCCATATTTCTATATTGTCAGACCCAGTTAACCCCTTACCCCCATAGCCCCACCCCACATGTTTCAATACAGAATAGAAGTTATTACACCCCAACTGCAGCTTTAGGAATACTTCCCTGTCCCAGGCTTCTGCTCTGGCTGTTTTCTTTGTCCGGAATTTCTTCTTTTTCCCCTTAAGTAAAAAATCCTACCACCTTCCCAGTACTAACTCTTTCATGAAGTTTCCCTTACTGTTCCTAATAAGTACAGAGGGTGAGTTATTAAGGCTCTTTTCAGTATCTGGTTTATCTGTACCATACTTCTTTTTGTCTTCTTTATTTTTACTTGTGTTTGTCTGCCTCCCCTGCTAGCCTGTTAACTCATGAATGGAGGGGTCTGGAAATGTTGGATTCCTCCTCTCACCCAGTGTCATTATTTTTCAAGGGGAGATTGAATTTACTTTTGATGAAAAAGGCTGATTTTGGGTGCTTGCAATTCCCGCTGCTTCACATTTGTGAGCAAGTTCATGAGGCCCTGCGCTACAGAGTCAGCCCCATTTCAGATCTAAGAGTATGAAGTTTCCACAGAAATTTCTGCTACAGTATAAGAATTGTAGCTTATTTCACCAAATTTGTTTAAATGCATTTAAAAGCCAGAAGAAGTAACAAATAGCACAAAGCATCTTACACACGGCTTGCTGTCTACCAAGTACCCAACGTACTTCAAAACACAACTGAATCTCATGAAGCAAACATGTACTCCAGGCCTGGCCTGATGGCTGCGTGGCTAGATCCGCACCTTGCACGCCTCAGGATTCCATGGGGGCACCAGTTCGAGGCTCCCCGTTTGTGGCCAAGGAAAGCAGTAAAGGAATGCTCCAAGTTAGAAACCCGGCACCTGCAAGGGATACCCAGAAGAAATTCCTGCCTCCTGGCTTTGGATTGGCTCAGCTCTGGCACTTGTGGCCACCTCAGGAGTAAGTCAATGAATGGAAGATTTTTCTGTCTCTCCTTCTCTCTGTAAATCTGACTTTCCAATAAAAATAAATCTTCAAACAAAATTTATCCGACTAAAAAAAAAAGGTTAAGATTCTGGGTTTTCTGTCAATGAAGTATATAACCAACAACTGCATTCCATGCGATTTTACAGTTATAATTTTTTCTTCTACAATATAATGATGCCACACACCAAATTCAAGATTACCTATCTTGCTTTAACATTTTCTTATCCCTCTTCCTAAAAGAAATTCAAAAGATTTTCTACTGTGAGAAATAAGCCTTTAAAATGAATTTGCTACCAATAAACTTGAGTATGAGAAATTGAGTAAAAAAAAATCACGCAGGAAGTAGAAGCTATGAAACTCTCTCATTTTCTATCGTCATACATCTATCTAACAAATTTTAAAAATTAGATAATTTTCTCCTAGAAATGATACCTCAATGCAATTTAGGAAGCAACAGATGCTAAAATGTGCAGGATAAATACTAAATGCATCTTTTAATGTTTTAAATTTTAGACGAAATATTTTCATTGAGGAACATTTCATGTAAATCATCCTGAGACTAAATTTCACCTTCACAATGCTTTATTACAAACCTTTCAAGACACAGGAGTATATTAAATTATATTAAATCAAGCTAAAAGGGTTACCAGTAATGACAATAGGCGATGACTCTGTGTTATGAATAAATAATCCTACATCTTCTAGAGATGCTGTTTTTATGATATGCCATTAAGAAGGAAGCTTTGATTTTTTTTAATCTAAGATGAAAACATAAGCTAAATTCACAATGTTCTGGAATAATAGTCACCTAGAGAGTTTTCAATTGAATCAATTTTAGCTATGGTGTATTCTCATAATTACGGACATGTGTGTGCATATTTGAGAACAATACTATAAATCGGTAGTTATAAATTCAAACTGTCTTTTATACTCAAACTACATTCCTGAAGCTTCCAACAGTACACACTAATAGCTAAGAATTTAATAAATAATATTAACCTGATGCTTGAAGCTGAATTTTTCATCAATTATTCTTGTTTTTTGTGTCTATTAAAGGACTAAAAGATTGTATGTTCCCTGAATACAACCATCTGTGATCTTTTTAGGTCAATGACCGTGAATTAAATGAATTATATGATGAAGTGTAACCCACAAATTCTGTGTTTTGCATTTTTATTCAATTCAGTACTTAGGGAAAATGTGCACTGCCAAACACAGAAAACAAAAGCATGTATGAGTTTTATAGTACTAATTACTGAATCAACAATCAATGAGAATGCAATAAAAAAGTTTCCTGCAATAGTCCACTCAGTTAATGATTTGAATGTCAAGATTTTTATTCACATAAATAAACTTCTTTGCCTTGAAACTGAAGGGCTTTTACAATTTTAGTAATGTTAGTTTAGTTAAAACTAGTCAAATCATTGGCCTGCCTCAAAAATGCCAGCTCATTCACTTTAGGAAATTTTGACATGATTATACCTTGTTGTCTTAGACGTGATACAGGTGTGGTATGAGATGGAGATGCTCAAGCACATAACAGTGAAACAAAAGTAATATCTGTGATCAGCTTTCAAACAGTGGGAAATAACATAAACATGAAAATAAGAAATTAAGTGAGTACAGTGAATGACTGAATCACTGCTGAATCTGGATGGCAGTTCTATTACTAATCCACTATTCCTGGCATATTGATATAGGTTAGACACACTGATTAGATATTTCAAAATAACGATCATCAAGATGATAAGGAAAAAAATAATATACATCAATAAGAGAAAACTGGAAATCTGATATCTGAAAATAAGTAACACAAGTCTCAGCAATCTACGTCTCAAAGAATCAAAATGGAATTTGGAAATTCTCAAATATATTTTGCAATATGCATATATATAAAACACATGCACAAAATTTTACTGTCAAAATTATACTACAAATGTAGAAGAACAGCTAAAACAGACTAAAGATGCATATTTTGAATTGAATGAAAATGAAGACAATATCAATGTTTGTATGAGATAATTACCACACGACATGGAGAGGAATTTGTAGCATAAAATATCTATAGGAAAAAGCAAAATGGTATCAATGACCTTAGTTTTTACCATAAGGAACTAGCAGTAGAGTAAATTAAAGCCACAGAAAACAAATAGGACAAGGATGTAATATAGAAAAAAGAATCAGTGAAATAGAAAATAGAAATAAACAGAATCTCAATCTCACTAAGTCAACCCTCAGTGGGAACAGTTAAACCAGTATCTTTCCTAAGCCAGACTTTACAGTACACAAAGGAAAACATGGGGCCAGCATGGTGGCAAAGCCTGTCATGCTTCTCACACCAGCATCCTCTCTGAGTGCCAGTTGAATGCTGGGTTTTTCACTTCCAAACCAGTTCCCTTCTAACGTGCCTTGGAAAGTGGCATCAGAAGGCCCAAATGTCTGGGCCTCTGCCACTTTGAATAGGAATCCAGGATGGAGCTCCTGGCTCCTGGATTCAGCCTCGTGCAGTGGCACCTGCTTTGGACTTCTGAGGAAAGAACATGTATATCAAAGATTTCTGTCTGTACACCTCTCTCTGTTTCTTTTTCAAATAACTAATTTTAAAAAACACGTATTTTTTTAAGAAGTGAAAACATCAAGATGAAGATGAGAAGTGGTTGCTTTTCCGCCTTTTGATTGAGAACAATGAAGATAAGTGAGGTGATGTGCTCCCTACATCAAAGGTATTATATGGTTCATAAAATAGCAGGAGAACCTATAATTGGTATGGCAACAAATTCAATCATTCATGTCACACAAATTTCTTAAAAGACTAAAAAAATAATAATAAACCTCAATCAAGAAGAAAAGGATAGCCAGAATAACCATAAATTTCTTAAAGAAAAAAATCAAATTTGTCATTATATCTTTTGTGGAAACTTCATTGCAGAATTCCAAAAAAATATTTAATGAAGAAATAATATCAATTATTTACTAACTCTTCCAGAAGACAGAGTGAACAGTTATGCAGACCCTACGATCAAAAGCAGACCTAAATTTCACAAAAATAACAAAACTGTAGTCTTAGTATAATATAATAATTTTAGTGGGGAGCGAATCTAATATACAGATGGAAAAACTTACCTAAGATCACAATACTATTAGTTGGCAGATCAACTTAAGAACTCAGATGTTTAACAATAATGCTGTATTTACCACTAAAACCCAATTCGATTCTGAATATTCTTGGAATGAAGCAGAAGGGAGTGTGCACACCACTTACCTAGAGACTATGCTGGAGCCGTTATACAGATCGCTAGCATAGGACAATGTGGCCAAAGGTCGTACTGAATTGTATCGGGTAAACTTGGATAAGCATTCCTGAAATTCATCCAACTGGCTTGCAGTTCGACTGTCATCTACATGGCAAAAACAACATAAAACAGATGAATACGTCATAAAATTAAGTCAAAGATTAATATCCACAGATCAAAAAGTATATTCTGAATACAGAAAGTATTCTTTAGAAAACATTACTTCTGGGCATGGCTCAGTAGCCTAGCAGCTAAAGTCCTCGCCTTGTGTTTACTGGGATCCCATATGGGCGTTAGTTCTAATCAGATGGTCTTGCTTCCCATCCAGCTCCCTGTTTGTGGCCTGGGAAAGCTTTGGGACCTGCACTCATTTAGGAGACCCAGAAGAGGCTCTGGGTTCCTGGCTTTGGACTGGCTCAGCTCCAGCCATTGCAGCTGCTTGGGGAGTGAATCAATGGATGGAAGATCTTCCTCTGTCTCTCCTCCTCTCTGTATATCTGACTTTTTAATAAAAAAATTTACTTCTATTTTTAAAAGGCAGATTTACAGTGAAGGAGAGACACAGATCCTAAGTGTTGGGTCTCCCATGTGGATGCAGGAGCCTGAGCACTGGAGTCACCCTCCAGTGCTCTCTCAGCCACAAGCAGGGGTTGGATAGGATATAGAACAGCCGGGACTAGTACTGACACCCATATGGGATACAGGCTCTGCAAGGCAGAGGGTTAGCCTATTGAGCCACTATACCTACCCAGCAAAAATTACTCCTTTAAAAAACATAGTCTGTGGGCTCCTGCACCCATGTGGGAGACACAGAAGAGGCTCCAGCTTCCTGGCCTTAGATTGGTCCAACTCCAGCCATTTTAGCCACTTGGAGTTAAGCAGCAAAAGGAAGATCTCTACTTCTTTTTCTCTATTTCTGTAAATCTGCCTTTCAAATAAAAATAAATTAATCTTTTTAACAAAAAGATTTCAGAGAAGAGTGGTTTGCAAAATTAATTAGATGATATTTTGCTTTTATTAACAAATGTTTCGGTGTCTCTTGAATAAAAATGTGTCTTTCAACACCAATAAGGACACAACTGAGAATTCTGTTTTCTTTCTTTGAACTGTATTTTCTTAAAAAAATAAAAAATAAACAATGAAAAGCATACTGGTCAAGAGAAACTAAATTATTCATTATTGTGAAAATATCCGACCCTGCGAAGAGGACACAATGCCACTGCGTGCAGCTGGGGTGTTAGAAGCCTGTTGTCTACAGGGATACACACTTACACCCATTACCATGAACACCCAATTTAGATTTCATATAAAACTGTAGAAAAAAGTGAGATTTTTTAATTTAAAAAATTGTTTCAATAACAAACTAAGCAATGTTTAAGATGGCTTTCACATACCACAAAGAAAGTTTCACTCAAATGTCATGGTGAAACATGGAAACAATAATTCTTTCCAAGAGATCACTGTACAAATACTGTAACTACAGTCTACCTCAGTAAACTTTAAATCATAACATAAGCTAGGAAGTTTAGAAAGTAGCCCACGACAAACGTAGGCAATCTAGTGTGCAGTCTACCACAGGTCTGCTTTAAAAAAACCCTTCATGCTTAGATTTGTATTTTCCTTTTCAAAAGAATGAAAATGCACCTTTTCAGCCTTCTAGATCAAATCATAAAACAAGTCTATCGTCCTTATTCTAAACTCATCCACATACACATGCATAGCTTTTTATTAATGTAAAAACCCTACCTTCCCTTCTAAGGCACTCACAGCAGGTAACAGGAGGCACCCACAACGAAATTCAGATGCAATCATCTCTCTCTCTCTCAGAGACACACACACACACACACACACACACACACTGAAGCTATCTAAAGATTTCATCTTATCTTAAAGAAAATTACTGGCATACAGAGATTTCAAAATTATCACAAAAATTACAAATGGGGAAATTAAATAAACCATTATTTTTGGTATTTTTCAAATTCTACAAATTAAGACACTAAGCAAATCTATCACAAGGATACAGTTCTGAACTGCTTCCATTTTAACAACAGCAAAAGAAAGTACCTAATTATCATGCAATATCATCAAGATACTGACAAAATGCTCCCGTTCCAAAAAGTTCTTTGTAAGAAATTCAACAACTAATACATAAAACATGGGTTATTGCAAAGAAAAAAAGTCACCCAGTGTGAGCTGCAGAGTGATCAACAATGCTTCCCACTTTAATGCCTTTATTATAATTATTTAATGTAATAGATGCTGGACATAGTTACTTTACACCTAGAAACGTTTAATGTTAATGCCATCACTCTTTGATATAACTCTGTAAGTACACAATCATACAGATTCCAGAATGTGCATTCTGCCGAAGATCATCATCTTTTCCTACAATAACCAGACTTCCTACGCAGGCTAATAACTAATTTCAACAGAAATGAGTTAGGAAACAATAAAAGTTGCTTATTTTGTAATAACAGGATTTCTCTTAATTTTCAGTGATATGGTTATGAAAAGGAAGAAGTTTGCTGGCCTGTTGTTTTATAAGCCGCATCTGCACACATCTCACTGATCTCTCACCTCTCCTGCAGGAGACAGACTGGTTTGCAAATGCTTTCAGTGCCTCTTTACCTAATTTAATGGCTCTTCATTTACATTCCCCTTCAATTATGTTTGAGTCCAAGATATTAATTTATTAATATCCTTCATTTTAATGACTGGGGAATATATTTGTGGATTCTCATTTAAAAATAGACAAAGGAAATTTAGCCTCAGAGATTAAATTTTAACTTATTTACAAGTTAAAATTACTACTTTATGAACAAAGACTCTAAAAAAATTGTATTTGGCAACATAATTATGATATTCTTTGTGCAAATATTAAACCTGAGATCCCCCTCAAGAACTAGGGACTGCATATTTTAAGTATAACAAATCAATGACACAGATAAAAATTTAAAATGTTCCTCCCATTATTGCTTACTCATCTATTCTGTTGAAAAACTACCCTCAACGACAAACGTATTCTGATAATTATTTCTGGTCCGCAGTATGCCTATGGTGACAGTGACTTTGTTTCCTATCCCAATCTCTCTTCCCATTCTTCCTGTTTTATAAAATCTGCCACTTGATCTACAGTTGATGTGTACTTCAACATGCCATCCTCAAGTGCCATGACAGGGTGAGCATGACCACTCTCAGGGAGGGGCATTCTCAGGCCTCACTGCAGCCTCTTACCGACTGTTAGCAGGCTCCTAGTCAGCAGATGACAGCTTTCCATTGGGAAAACTGTTTATCTTCAGTTTAAATTTACTAACGAAAATATCTTGAATTCCTCTTGTATCACTAGAAAAACACTACGCATATCTAACACAAGGAGTTTCAAAAAATATATGGAAAAAAGAAATTAAAAAGACAAGTTGATTTTGGTGCAAATGTTAATTCTGCCCACAATTTTTTGAATATCCATTTTCCCTGAGCTTTCTGAAGACTGTCCATACACTTCTTTTCCTCTATACCAAACTTCAATTAAATCAGTCCAAAAGACTTGGCAATATACAGACTACAATAACAAGTGTTTTAAATAACCAATGACATATTAGGCAGATTTTTTCTTAGTGGTTCACACTCAGAGCACATGCACTAATCACATCAATCAACAAAGCACCCAAAACTAGTTTGTACTAAGCGTTGTTTGACATACATGGCAGACATGCCCTAAGTAAATGCAAAAAAGAGCTATTACTGCTGCTACTTCACCAATCACAAAAGATGCTTTATTACTTCTCTACAGCAGTGCACATGTTATGTCTTCTAATCTGAATATGTTTCTAATTACTATTTTCAGGTAATTCACAGTAGCCAAAAACCAAGTTCTCCAAAATCTGTCTACTGATCACATCTCTCCATTTTCAACATGGCTATTTCACCTATTTATAATATAGTGTATTTCTTCTCTAGTTTTATGCTATCGTCTGCATATTTAAATAACATGTAACATCACATAGAAATCAGTTGCAGCTTTTTTCTACTAGGTTTATAACTCCTTTGATGCACGAACTGTGGTTTTTCTACATTTTATTCTTAGCCCAGAGGACAGTGCTTAGAATTAACAGTGAAGAGATAATTTAACAGATTTTTGGTAGCTGCATATTCATGGTTTCAAATCATGCTTTTCAAATTTTATGTAAATGTACAAAACTAAAAATTCTCGAAATGAGAACAAAATCGCCACAGAAAAGCAATATTCTCTGAGATCTCTCAGAACATGTATAGTGTTCTGACAAAGTTTGTCAAAAACACAAACTTTACAGGTAGAGCTTTCCATAAATCCACCATAAAAACCCAGAAATGGGATCTGAAATAGGAATTGCAGCTATTTGAAGAGACATCCTGAACAGGTACCTGAGATACGAGACATCCTTGTAGAAAAATAACACTGCTCTAAGTCTTCAAAATGAGCAGTGAGCCGCTTTCGTCTTGAAGCTAACGTGCTGTTATACCAAGGCTGTTTCTTTGTCTAAGACAATAATAAAAAAAGATATTTATAACTCAGAACAAAGTAAATCCTCTTACACAGAATATCCAAATGCTTAAAAATTTAGTATCAAAAGTTCATCACAGTAAAATGATGATTGCAAATGGTGCAAAACCACAGTTATTCAATCTTATTTTCTATTTGTTTTAAAGTAAAAAAAAAAAACCCAAATTCATGAACAGAATGATTAAAAACAAAAAAAATGACTTAAAAGGTAACTTCTGAATAAAGGTTATTCAAGATGAAAATGAGAAATATCTTCCAACTCTCCAAATTAAATGAAGAAAGAATCCATTATAGGTATCATTCTAAAACTTGGAATTTCATCCAGTAGAAACAAACAGAAATTATTAGAAAAAATTATCAAACAGAAAACTATTTTTCACCATTCTTATCTTTACCCTGACACTGAATTACAGAACACTTCATGATTAAAACAAACACCCACTTTATACAGCTTATTAGGGTAAGAAGCAGTAATACTTAATGTTGAAGAGCTTCAATTATCCATCACAGAAGAAAACAACAAAATCAGATAGAAAAAGAAAACACAAATATGTTGGCACGATCCTATAAACATCAATTACCTGTAAGAGGCTCTTATCTATGACTGTGACACGAGAACAGACACAGCCATCAGACACATGATGGGACAGCTACGGTCAGGATGTCAGACACATGACCTTGAGAGTACAAACACACCACTGCGCACACTCTCCATCATGCTTTTGCTCTAACAAAACTGGATAAAAGCTGGGAAACATCTGAAAGTAACTGCTTGACAGGCAGGGAATTAAGACGATTTCCAAGACATACTGAATGGGGAGATGCACTCAGAGAAATGATGGCAAATAGATTACAACGGAGCACAGGAGGGAAGCAGGACAGGAGTCAACCTGAAGACAAACACCTACTGACCAAGGACTGTGATTCTCCAGATACGTAAAGAAACAAAATAGAACTGGAACCTCAGAGATAGTGAAAAACATTGCCTACAATGAAAGACAAAAATCAGGAAGCTTGAAAGAAAGACATTAAAAAGAATGGTTTGAAATGTAATCAGTGTGTTAAAATCAGAGTGCAACATATTAAAGAAAATTTCCCAGAACTAAAAAGAAATATCATGCCAAGTAGAGAAATTCGTCCTCCCAAGAAGATGACTAAGAAGATGGCTACAACTAGCTGTGATCTGTTTATTTGGTAAATCAGAAAAAGATTTCAGAATCCGAAAAATGGGAATGACTAAATGAAAATCAGAAATACCGCATATAAGCCAAGGTAGTAATCTGGCTCTTTTACTTAGTTTCTAGAGTGTGTTTTTAATTGCTTTCATTTGAAAGGCAATATTAGAGACAATAAGAGACAAAGATCGTCCATCCAGTGGTTTATTCCCTAAATTGCTGCGATGGCTGCAGTTGAGCAGAGCCAAAGTCAGCAGCTAGGAGCTTCTTCCGGTCTCCCAGGTGGGTGCAGGGCTTTCCCAGGCCCCAGGAGGATGCTGGATGGGAAGTGGCACAGCCAAGACATATTTGGGTGCTGTAGGAGAAAGCTAAGCCTACTGTGCCATGGCATTGGACACCCAGCTTCTATTTGTTATATTAAATCTGTCTCCAGAGTTATTCTGTCAATATTTGCTTCGTATTATTCAAAATACTACTGTAATTTCTTTTTAAAACATTCAAAATTAGGCTTCATTTTGTGGCAAATATTCATAACCCAGCACATTGTTTATCCACTTTAATTCTGAAATTCACAAGCAGCATTCTGTGCTTACTATGTGATGGATACAAATAGGCAGATATTCCAGCTCTACAAGTCACTATTGCAAACTAACAACCTTCACAGAGAAATGGCTACATATACCAATTCAGTTAATTAAATTTCATAACAACAAAAGAGCAGCACATTAATCATCCTTATCAAATAAAATTCATGGGGCTGGCATTGTGGTGCAGCATGTTAAAACTGCCACCTACAACACTGACTACAGAGAGCAGAGTGCTGGTTCAGGCACAGCTGCTCCACTTCCGACAGCTTCTTGCTAACGCGTCTGGGAAGGCAGCAGAAGCGAGCTTAAGTGTTTCTGCCGCTGCCACCCATGTGCAAGATCCTTCTGGAGCTCAGGGTGGAGTTGATCCCAGCCACAGCCGTGGCAGCCTGTTAGAAAGTCACCCAGCGATTCTTGCCTGTCTCTGTCTTGCCCTTTCTCTGTAGCTATTCTGTTCAAATAGTAATGCAAAAACACCTGATTTCATAAACTAACACAAAATAGAAAATGATTCACCTAACAATCTATTTTAGTTCAAGAACTGCATGGCCAAATGGTAATGAAATTGTTGATCATGAATACATATGACTATACAAAGATCTAAAGACTGGCTTAAATGTGCTTATGCAATTACAAAGTTGAAGTAGTATAACACTGCTGACCTCTTATCACACATCAAGTGTCAATATCATAAATACTACGACTCTAATAAAAAAGGATAATTCCCTATACTAGACCTCTTATCACACATCAAGTATCAATATCATAAATACTAAGACTCTAATAAAAAAGGATAATTACCTATACTATTCATATATACAATTTACAAAACTCAGTTGTACTTAAGGATAGTCTTCACTAAGCAAAAACATTAACTAAGTCTTTTACTCGCACACAGTTCCTAAGACCTAGATGTGCCCTGAGCAACTGCAGTGTATTCAGTTATTCACACAAAATCCTTTTTGATGATACCTTAATTTAACTTAGAATGGTCTCTGCTTATTGTTGCCTACAAATCCTAAATCTAGAGTTACCTCAAAATAACAAAGTTGTAGTTCTAAAAATTATTTTTAAAAATAAAATTTCATGGGGTGACTCGAAATGGCAGTTTTAAGAGATGCTCCAATAACTATCTCCAACAGGTACCAGGAGCTTCAAGGGTTACAAAGCCCAGGAGGGACCACTGTGCCTGTTTTGCATGTAAGAAAAGCCACTGAGGAAAACAGAGGAAAGCTCTGCTCCTGCTCTTCTTCCCAGCTTCCAGCAGCACAGCTTGGAAAGCCCTCCTCTGCTTAGAGAGATGAAGGGAAAATCAGAGCCAAGGTCGGAATCCCGGGGCCAAACCTTCGGGAAAAATATGCAGTCAAACGAGACGCCTGCAGCCCCATCCCAAGATGTGCACTCGTGCGGAAAATCCGCGGAGGGGCTTGCAGGGATGGAATACGCCTTTTGGGAACTTCCACAGTTCATTCTGAACAGCTCATCAGATATCAATTTAAAGAAATTTGGGTTTGTAGAGCACTACAGGGCTGAAACAATGACAGAACATCAGCAGCGGACCAAAGGCAAACCTAAATCCAGGGAGCTCTCCAGCACTAACATAGCAGTACTTCAAGGGAACATGGAGAAGCAATTTAATGTTCTAGAAGAGAAAGCTGACAATGATAGAAATAATCTAAAACTACATCCTTCAAATGAAAAGCACACTAAATGAGGCTAAAAATGTGACAGAAGACATAAGCAGCAAAACAGATCAAACAGAAGAATGAACCGGGAACTCCAAGAAAAGGCCACGTGAAAATTCACAGTGCAAGTGGGGAAAGACCAGCAAGAACAAAGAAAACTCTGGAAACTTTAGAACAATTTGAAGCAAACATCTGAATTACTGGGGTTCAAGATGGACTGTATAATGCCAAAGAGGCAGAAAGCATATCCCAAGAGATAATAACAAAAATCATGAAATCTAAAGTCTACCCCAAGACACATTACAACCCAGAACTGATGAATTCAAACGAGGGCATCAATTCACACGGCTCAAACCTCTCATCAGCCAGCACAAGGCCAGGGGAAAGCGGCATGAGATCCTCAATACTGAAGGGAAAAACACTGCCAGTCAAGGATAATTTGGGGTGGTGCTGTAGCACAGCACATGATGCTTCCGTCTGCAATGCTAATATGGGATCAGCAGTTCAGGTCCTTACTGGTCCTCTTCCAATTCAGCTACTGGACCTAAGACAGCAGAAGACAGCTCAACTACTTGGGCTATGTCACCCATGTGGAAGACAGGGATGGAGTTCTAGGCTCCTGCTTCCCTTCCACCTGATCCAGACAAGCTGCCGTGAACTTTGGGGAAGTGAACTGGCAGATGAAGGGTCCCTTTCTCTATGTGTGTTTCCTTTTCCAAATAAATAAAGCAAACAGACAACAATACTGTATTCACCAAGCCTACTCTTCCCCTACAACAGATCAACATATTTCCAAATGAACAAAAGCCAAGAGAATTTATTATAATCAGACTTAACAGACCTGTCATACGAAAATATGAAATGTAGTTCTTCAGACTCCTAAAATGATGATGCAAGAAGAAAACAGCAGCATGCATTTTATGCAACAGTTAAAATGCAATAGAACTGCTCCTGGCACAATAGCGTAGTGATTAATGTCCTTGCCTTTCACCCCTGGGATCCCATATGGGCATCAGCTCTAATCCCGGCAGCTCCCTGCTTGTGGGACGGGAAAGTAGTCGAGGATGGCCCAAAGCCTTGGGACTCTGCACCATGTGGGAGATCCAGAAGAAAATCCTGGCTCCTGGCTTCAGACTGACTCAGGTCCAAGCTGTTGCAGCAGCTTGGGGAATGAACCATCTTACAGAAGATCTTCCTCTCTGTCTATCCACCTTTCTAATAAAAATAAATAAATCTTAAAAAAAAATGCAATAGGACTACAACATCCCACATCGAAGTGCCAAAGATCTGTCCTGGGTCCACTTGATTCCAGCTCCCTGACCCTAAGCACCCTGAGAGACAGCATGTACTCGCTGACAGAGAAACTCCAGAATGAGCTCAGGAAACTAGCACCTGCATGCAGGGCTGGGACACTGGAGAATGAACCAAGGACGGAGGATCTCTGTGGGTTGTCTTTGTTTCTCTGCCTTTCAGATAAAAATAGAAAATGGATATTTTTAACATCTAGATCTTCTTTGTGAAGATTCTCA